CCACAAAGTCTGCGGAAAACGCTGAAAAAATTAAAACTAGGGAAATATTACAAAGCTATTCCCTATCTTTTGTCTCAGATAACCGGTAATTCTATTCCCGAAGTTTCTGACATGAGCAGAGCCGAGTGGATGTTCTGTCGTTTGAATAAGGATATTCCTTATTATCCCGACGTAATTTACGAAATATTTTACAAAATAAACCCCAACCACCCTCTGTTAGGTTGGATTCCGAGAAAATGAAAATGCAAAACTGGCGTTTTACCAGAAACCCCACTGGGGATTGCATCGCGCAGAACACCAAGCTATCCCCAGTGGGGTTTTTTGCATTTTGGGCTTACGAGGCTTATTTCATCCCGCGCCAGAGGCCCTCTAGTACACACATATATCTTGGGCTTACGAGGCTTATTTCATCCCGCGCCAGAGGCCCTCTAGTATACACATATATCTTTCTTACGGCCCCCCAGAGGGTGAACTCCGGACAGCGTCCCGAGACACCCCTGACTTTTCCAACTTTTCCTCGCGAAACCCCCCATCGCGGGGTTGAATCGCACTTTCTATCTTTCCTTACCCACCCCTCCCACGGTTGCTGTGAGTGGGGGAGGCTTTTTTTTTCACTCACAGCAACCGGTCCAAATGTGTCTGAGGCTTGAACTCGGGACTTTGAGCCTCYCCAGATTCAAAGTCCACGAACACAAGCGAACGCCAGACACACCGGACGCTTACGTATGTGAAAATTATTATATTTATGTCTTACACTCTAATTTGCATACAGCTGGCGTTCGATATGTAAATAGAATCCTGTCACGATATTTACTGAGCGAGTTTTCTTTGAAGCTCTTCTTTTGCCTCCTGGTAGATCTTTTTGCGAGATTCCTCGGACAAATCTTTGACGACTGTTTTTTTATTTCTGATGTCCGACTTTAATTTCTCGTATTTTTCCTCTTCGGCTAAGATAAGCGAGAATTCTACGTCGTCTATCTTTCTGTCACGCAAAGCCTTTGAGACAAGGTCGGTAATCGTATTTACTTTAGCCCTTGACAGAGCTATTGTCGTGTCATGCTTGGATATTTTGCTTGACAACTGTTTCATAA